ATGAAATCATGACCTGCACCTGTTAATATGGTCTCCGCATGGATGTTAAAGTCTCCCAGAACTATAAGCTGCTAGGAGGCCAAGGCCAAATTTGAGACCACTTCTGCTAGCTCAGGCAGGGAAAGTGCTGGGTCGCGGGGTGAACGGTACACCAGAAGAATCCCCAAGCTGTCTCAGGTTCCCACCTTCAGGTAGACACACTCAAACCTCAAAGATTGCGGGATGGTACATCTGATCAGGGTGATGGACTGCCAAAAGATCACCGTGACCCCTCCCCCCTCGTACCGGGCCTGCTGATGCACCCTGAAACCCAGAGGACATAGCTGGGTGAAATTTACCCCACCCACCTCGTCCAACCATTTCTCAGTGATGCACGCCAGATCTGCCCCCTCATCCAGGACCAGGATGATAGATGTCTTCCTGTTGACAGATCTGGCATTCAAAAGCAGGATCTTAAGTTCGGGGGGGGGGGGGTCTGTCTTGAGGACTACCACACCTATCCTTCTCCAGGGCTGCAAAAACTCTGTTGCACTTCTCCTTGGGCACAGAGTGACCGATTTTCCTCCTCCACACAACCTCAGTGGCATTCAACCCATTCGGATCCCTGCCCCCCTGGTGGATGGGCAGATTGAGATTGGACTCAGAAGGGATTAGTCAGCTCCCCAAAACTGGAGAGCCACCTAATGTGTTTCCTTGGCTAATAGTAGAAGAAATCTCCAATGGAGAAAGAGAGAAGGAGTCATCTGGTGTACTGGGGGGGGGGGGCTGAATAAGTGGGGCATCTGCGGGCTGATGGAAAACAGGTTGGAAAATGGCATCTTTGTTTAACCATTTCTTTAAATAATTCAGATTATTTAACCTTAGAACATTACTGAGTTCAGATTATTAATAAAGAGACCTGAGGAAACCTCTTCTCAAATAGGCTGTGGATTGGACAAGCTGTTAGGAGGATGAATTGATTGACTGATCAGGACTAAAACTAAGGAAGATGTAATAAATATTGTTGGATTGGAACTGTTTTATAACATCTTGCATCAAGATTTCAGATGGCTCGTGCTGGACTAATAGTCAAAAACTTTGACAGAGGCCACTGAAATATTGGAATCTCTGGTGTTATTATTATGTGATAAAAACATTTTGCCTTAGAAATATAATAAGAATCCCTTATAGAAGACACCAAACATAATGGAAGCATAGTAGTAATATCTCACTGGAGGGAAAGGTAAGTAGCAGAAATGAAGAGAGTTTTACAGCCAACCCTCAAACCAGATTCAGTATAGGAATTAAAACTTGTTTTAAATGTGGATATTATTAGGGAAGACTACCCTAAATATAGCAGGCCATCCAAAAACAAACAGGATACCAAAGTTGAGCATCAGCTCATTAGCAAGCAGAGCATGCCTTGTGATGTGGCTGTAAAGAATTCAGAGCTTAGAAGGCAAATACGCAGAGTCTGATCTTTAAAAAAATCTTAATAATCAAGAACTGGGCTACTCTAACACCCATCACTCCTAAGTTTTCAAGGGAGGGAAAAACTCAATCACTACATCTCTCTGACACACAAGCAGAGAGAGATCTCAAAGCACACAGCACATACTCTCCATACTAAAGTGTAAGAAGGCAGAAGTCAGATTCAAAAAGTTGAAAATTATCAATTTTAAACAACCAATCAGAATGGGACCAGAGACACTCCCAACTATCATTTTAGGAGACATAGGGGAAGCGAAACCCTCAGCTTCTTCTAAACTAACTAACTACTCCTCATTGAGGACTTGAAACTTGGGCAGTGCAGGGGTGAATCCCAACAGATATGTGAGGCTCATTCAGTACAGTTGCCTAGGCACAGTTTAAAGAAATGTACCTGTGAAATAAAATGAAATATACATGGTGAGGAAGATTTGGTCTGGGAGGACAGATTAAGAGTAACACTAAACAATAGGACAGGAAATCACTGAAATTTGATATGATGGCACTAAAAATCCTGTTTACTTTTTGCATAGCTTTCAAAATGGAAGAATGTTTCAAAGGAAGCTCTCTTTCAGGAGGGCAATCATTGCTTGTGGCCCAGGCAGAAGCGACTATTCGTGACAAAGTGAATACTGCGAGGCAAAAACAACAGGTATGACTTGGTAGATTTGAATACAGTATGTAATTTGTTTCTATCTTTTGTGCATGTTTGCATGTCGTAAATGTAGAAATTTGATCTTGAAAATTAGATAATGCGTTCCTTGTTTAGAGACATATGCAAAGTCTCCATATTGATACTAATGTACCTGCCTAGGTGTATGGTTATTTTAAAACCTTGCACTGGGGATTTTAAGAGTTCAGGCTTAGGCATAAACTAATAATTCATTTGAGGTTTGGAGCAGTAATGCCACAATATCCTATTTAGATCAGAATAATACTTGAAACAATTACTTTTTTGGACTGCAGTTCCATATATCCTCTATCTGTTATAAAAAAAATAGAGAGGCTGATGGGATGAACAGGGACTGGATATTTAAAAAAATAATGTTTTTTTGTGCACTTTGACTGTAATGTGGCTACTTTAGCTTGTTTCAAAAACATGTGTGGTACATATATCTCAAAGTATGCTTAATGTTTTTTCTAGTTAATGGTAACTTAATATTTGTATTTTAGCTGGTATACTGACAGAACTTCAAATAGAGATTACAGGTACTATCAAAAGAAGTTATTTGTTTTTCAGTTCCCATGGATATTATGCATCTACCTTCACATAGTGGCCATAATGCTGTAAGATTTTTGGAGTTGTCATCCAAAAAGTAACTTTTCCAGGCTCTGAAGAGAACAAGGACATACAACATCAACCCATGGGATTAATACTCTATGAGGTCTCTGGATTGAGAAACACGTTGAGTCATTATGAGACAACATTGTTGTACATAAATTCCATTTTTGTATGTGCTATCAATTAGACAGGAAGTGGGTTTGCTGGGGATATACTGTGCAGTAAGAATATTTGTGTGCAAAACCTGAGGAATTAGTCTAATGTTCCTAGAATCCTCCAGGCAGTATTGTCAGAGGCTCTGCTTAATTCAGTGGTTCCAGACCTTTTCTTGACCAGGAACCACTTGACCAGGGACCACTTTGACCAGAGACCACTCTCCAACATTAGTACCAAAAGGGTTACGAATAAGTTTTTGTTCAACTTTAGATTTGGTTTGGTTATTTGGGGTGCTGATTCAGAAAATTGCATTGAAAAGACCACAACAGCTCTAGTTTCTGATACAGAACATATGTCATCCCGTAGTCACCATCTTGAAGTGACCTTGAAGGAGCTGGGGGTGGTGACGGCTGACAGGGAGCTATGGTGTGGGCTGGTCCATGAAGTCACAAAGAGTCAGAAATGACTGAACGAATGAACAACAAAGTCGCCATCTGCTCACCCACAGAAAACCATATTTAATCATCTAGAGCTGATGTGGTAATAGTAATCTTTCATGATAGTCAGCCTCTCCCCTCCCGACATCCCCGTTGCCTCAGCACTATAAGAGGGTTTCGCAAGATTAGTTGCTCTAGTTGCTGCGTGGTTGCAAGGCAATGGTGTGGTACTGGTGAGGCTGTGGACCATATTTTTGTTCCACGAACCACAAGTTGGGTACAACTGGCTTAACCCTTGTATTGCATGGAAATACAATGTGTACAAGCACTGTCTTTAATATCACTGAACACAAACCGTAAGCTTTTCATGGGATTGATTTGTTTTCTCTCTCTGAAAGTATCTGGTGTATTGTATATTTTTTCATATTTATTGTTAGCTGCTTTATGGCTTCATCTCATGCTGAGATATAAATGTTGAAGCAGTTAAATACTCAGGTACATTATACTAGAAGTCATCATATTCTGACACTGAAAAAGGATGGTCACCAAAATAAAAAAAGAATTAATAAGAATTCCATGTTACAAAGTGTGACACAGATGAACTCCAATGCAGGCAAATGCAAATGCATCTTAATCAGCACTGAAGATGTCTCTTAGGTGTGTTTCTAATAAAGCTGGGAAATGGAAGCTGCTTTAAATCCTTCCATGTGGTGGCTGTTAGCACATGATGAACTGCTTTTGTACAATGTTTCATACCAGAAATCAGGTACATTTCACCCTGTGGTCACAAATATTGCACATGGGGAGGCTGTGGTTCCATGTTGACATTTGCTCAGTTCTTATGGGGAGTTGCTAAGAACAGTTCACTCACCAAGTAATATAACAGTTGCCATATAGAATGATTTAACACATTCAGCCCAGATCCGGTTTTAGAGAAAGGTAATATCCTGAGAGCAGACCAGTCAGAAACCAAAAGGAAATATATGCTTAGCCTCCTGGGCAACTCATTCTGTATTTGACCTAGCATAAATCTATCTGATTCAACTGATTTCATGTGTTTGGCATCTTCTTCTTCACCATTGTGGTCACTTACTTTGGTTCCATTTTCCAAGTGTGTTATTAGACCCATGTTTAATGGATGAAATCCAATATTACCTTTAAGAACGGAATTTCAAAATGCAACTTAATTCATTTTGACATCTTTTTCTTTCCCCCACATTTGAGGCTTCTATTGCATATACTTGGGAAAAAGCAATGACATTATGTGACATTAATTCTAAGCAATTCCATATGATACTAGCATAGAGAATATAGCTGATAATTTGCTTCCATTTGCAAATTAGATGAATAAAGAAGTAAAAAGTGACTTAATTTTTTGTAGAAAGTTTAGGACCTTGTTCTCATCTTTCTGCATTTCAGTCTGATCAAGCATGCTAGTTTACTGGTACTGAATTAGAAACCGAAATCCAACTTGCTTTTGCTTATGAAGTACTCAAAATGATTTGCTTGTCACCCCTTACCCTCCCTGCAGCTATTAATATATTGGCTTTAGTTATTGAATTAATTCATCCTTTGTGCTTTGCTTTGCATAGCTGTCTGCATTTATCTGTTATTTTGCATCAGTGATTTTTCTTCTATGGTCCTCTTTTTGGCTTCAGAGTCATCCATTGCGAAGGGAAAGAGATCAGTGGAAAAAGAAGATGGTAAGAGAAGTTGCTACCAAGCTCAGAGCAGTGGAGTTTAAGGCATTCTCCTTGCACTGTTGTTTATATTACTGGTTCTTCTGTTCATGCAAACACTCATTGAGCTCAATCAGATTTCCTAAAAGTATTGAGTTTCCAAATCTTGTCGTTCAAATGTTTCATCCAGTTCTTTCTTGAAATATGTTGGTTTCCCCACCATATGTCCCTCTCTTGTGTCCTTTCTATTCTCACTAATCATTTGTCATATCTTAAAGCACTGGGATTGTGGCGCAGTTCAGTCTTGCTTCGTACTAAATGATTGTGTTAAGTACTGTGGTGCTTCTGTAATACCCTTTTCCCCATTCTACTACTAGCTGAGCATTTATCCCAAACAGTTGTACTCTTTTCCAGGCATTTAATTTTCATTTAAGATTGTTGGCTTGCTTTTGATTGCAATTTCTCCTGTCTATGTTTATTTGAAGACTAAATTCAAGCAATGTTTTAGTTTGGTTGCCAAAAAGAAAAGAAAAGAAAGAAAAAAAGATAAGAAGGTTTGGCAAAGCAAAAGGTTTAGCATATATGATGGATTGCTCCTTTATGCCTCCCTGGGAACATTTTACCACTATAAACGCTCATTTGTTTGCTTACAGCAACAAATAGAACGTCAGTTGAAATGCTTGGCATTCCAGAATCCAGGGCCTTTACTGGCAGACTTCAATCCAGAAACTCGAGAACAGCAGAAGAAAGCCTGCATGTCAATGATAAACCAGGATTGTTTTAAAACTACAAAGAAGTAAGATGCTTCATCCACAGAAACTCGAGAACAGCAGAAGAAAGCCTGCATGTCAATGATAAACCAGGATTGTTTTAAAACTACAAAGAAGTAAGATGCTTCATCCATGTATTCTGTACTTTAGATGTTGTGTAACTGTGAATAGCAAGACTGGGTACAAATGGCCACAGTTCTACCTTGGAATTCCTACTGAAGTTTTAAAACATGTTTATGTATTTATTCAGCAATGGTTTGTAGTTCTGGATTCACAACCTAGACAGACAGCACTGGAAAACTCACAAATAGAGCATGATTTCTAGTCTTTGGTACCCTCTTACCAGGCATGTAGCCGGGGGGGAGGGGGGGGGCTTGAGGGGCCTCAGCCCCCCCCCCCCGAAATTCTCATGGTGGTTCGCGAAAAGGCCTTACTGGTGCATTATTTAAACTGTTATGTTTATTCATATCATGATCTGATCACCATACTCAATATATCCCATATGCATGGGGGGATTGGGATAATGATACAAAAGGTTTGCTAGGGTAGACCCTCTTTCACTCAGACTCAGCCCCCCCCAACCAAACTCAGCCCCCCCACCCCCCCTGAAAAAAATCCCCCCCCCCCCCCCCCGAAATGAAATCCTGGCTACGGGCCTGCCTCTTACCTTTGCATGGGTGAATGGAAAGGACCACCCCACTTGTAAGAAATTGGCTGGTAATGCTTATCTACAGAATGATGAGTATGATATTTAAACCATTTTTGCAACTAGGGAAAAACATTGAGGTTTAGATGGTGTAATTATTTTTTGATTAGTGACGTTTATCTCAGGTTTTTTTTAAATCTGCCATTGCAGTGCCTGGTGGCCCTAATGAACTGGATGGGGCGAGGAGGCTGATTCTAAACACAGCAAAAATTATGGAGCCTTAAAGTGCATCAGAATAGATTTATTAGTAGTTTGCCAATCACAATCAGAATCTTAAGTGCCTCTAATTTATTTGAAATTAAAGAGATGGATAGATAAAGTAGGAATGCAATTTTCTATCCTGTTCGTTTGTATTTGAATAAATTCTGGTAGCCATTATTTTGCAGATAACTTACTATAACACGAGTCTGCCAATCCTGTGCTAAACATTCCATTAAAACTTAATTTATCGATATGTGTGCTGCAAGTATATCTAATAATAAAGAGCTGTGTAACTGATCAAAATTCTTAATGCTTGGAGTTGCTTTTTAACTGCACAGATATGACTATTTCACACAAGATTTCTCTGTATGAATGTCACTGTTTCTATATACACACCATGCACAATGTAACACAAGCTAAATGTTTATGTCATTTTACCATGCGTACTTTATCTATATTGAAAATGTTTTTGAACAAAGCAGTCCTGAGGAAACATGGTTAAGGCAAAAAAACTCATCTTTCTCAAATGTAAGAGTTGTGAGAGGGTCTTGGGGGCTTCTATGCTACTTATCTTCTTCTCTGCTGCCACTCTAAATCCCCTTCGGGTTTGAGATAGAGTGGGATAAAAATACAGCAAATAATAAACAAATACCGGGGAAACCTTTTGCTGCCAAGCTGACCGGTTGTCAGGAGAAGCAGATAGCTACCCCCAAGAGCAAATAACAAAGACTACAGAGACAGTAGAGGGTCAGGACCTTGGCAGAGCATCAGGATGACAGGTTAGAATATTCTCTCCCAGCAGCCAAATCAGGGGCAAATGTATAACAGCCACCAGAGCATCCTGAGATTTTGGAGCTCCTTAATGCTGATCCTCTAGTCTTGAAGAAAACAGGGCAGGATCAGGGTCTTCAGGGAGAAGAGCAGGAGTTGACTCATTCTGCTTGACTCCAGATAAGGATTGATGCCATAGAGCTGAGAAGGTCCAATCAGCTGGCCCAGAAGAGGGCCTCTCAGCTGTAAGGGCTTCATTGGGCAGCATAAATAGCTGGTGGCTGCAATGTGAGCAACATTGGTGAAAGAGCTACAGCTAGTATCTTATTAGTGGACTTTATGTTTTTCGACTATAGACTATATGTGTGGATTTTGACCTGGACTATTCTTGAACTTCAGCGAGTTTCTATGCTACTGACCTTTGAAATGGACTCCTGACTATTTTTTTGTTTGACCCTCTGTCTGAACTAGCTTTTCTGTTTGATCTTGGACTGCCTTGCTCAGCACACACCTTCCTCTCCTCCTCTCTCAGCTCCAGTCTTTCCCACTTTTACTTATTCATATACGCACAGCATTTCCTCGAAATGTATAGTTAAAATAAACTATGGTGATAGCTGGGATGAACCCTGAAATTGAGCAGGAAGGCAGACAGACAACAACAAATAACTTTTGCCAGAGGATCAACCAGGTCTCAACACTGCTTTCAAGCCAACTTACAGCATTGGTTGAGATAGAAAAAGTGTATTTTAAGCATTAGTATTTTATAGTATCTGAAGTTTATGTGTCTCGTGAAGAATGTATCAAGAATTTGTTTGCTGAGGACGATATTTTTCTAAGTATAGCAGTATATATGACCATAACCTCTACTTATTGGCAATGGGTGCTTAATATTGCAATTACATCATATGTAGCATAGCACAAACAATATAAGCACGGGGATTGTCAGCTGTTTTGTTTAGATGAAATTGATCAGGTTTCCTAAAACAGATCAGCATAGCTCTGCATCTTTCATATTTTTCACTAACAGTCATGTTGGATGGGCTTCTGTTTATTGTTAAGCAGTTGAGCAAATTAACTACTTTATGTGACAGTTTGACTTGGCACCTCCTTGTGAGATGATGAAGTCGAGGAGCTCTGATAGCTCACTGTCCATGGAATGTGTAGCCAGAGACATAGGGATAACTGTATTCAGCATTGGGTTTCAAAATCAATTTTTCAGTAAGCTGCAGTAAATCATCACAAGGGTACGCTGGAACCTTTGTTTATTTTGTGATGACACTTTCATTTTTATTGGATATACCTTCTGAAAAATGAACTGAGATTTCTCATTTTTTGTTTGTTTTATAGAACCATGAAGAAATACGACAAAAAAGGCTGCCTCCTATCCAGTAAAATAGATTTGTGTGACTGCCTGGAGAAGAACTGTCTGGGCTGCTTCTACCCTTGCCCCAAATGCAATTCCACCAAGTGTGGAACAGAGTGTCGCTGCAACAGAAAATGGGTTTACGATCAGGTTCAGATGGAAGATGGACAAATTATCAAATTTCCATTTTTCAAAAACTGATTTGTATTTCTCTTCTTGATCCCCCTTGTAAAGCAGTGGCTGAACATTTTATTTATGCTGTTTGTTTATTTATTTATTTATTTATTTATTCATGTGAGTGAATTGAACATTTGAAAAAATCTGTGGGAGGCAACAGCATTATTTATGTAGTATTGGAGAAATTAGATAATTTTATAGCTTACATGCAATGATTATGTGTCACACCCCTTATGGGGGAGTGTCTTTGAATCCAGGGAATCCTGAGTGGAGAAGTATGTTTATATGGTTCTGTTTCATGCAATTCACCAATGACATCACTTTCCCAAATTCTTAACTCCTGTTTTCATTTTTAAACAAACCCTGCAGAGAGAAATGATATTGTATTTAGTAAGGAATATAGTTGGAATAGCAAATGAGATGGGATTGGCTAGAATGAAGCACCTTCTCTTGCTGTCCTCCCAGACCAAGTTGCATTTCTTAGCAAAGTAATGTTGGGGTTCCATTTTACACATTTGTTGGTTGTGTGTAGGTAAGCTCTGAGTATTATGGGTTTAAGCAACATAGGATCTGCTATTAGGAAGTCTCTCTAATATTGCTATTCTATTAAACCTCTGGAGGGAGGGAGGATTTAAACCTCTTTTAAAAGCTACTGTGGAAGAAAGAAAGACACTGAAAGTTAGCAGAAGCAAAAGTCCTGGACCTTGCTTCTTCATTTACTTCCTCTACACATGCCCTAAAATAGTGTTATACATTATCTTTACTGAGAAAAAGGAACGTGGCATTGTGAAGCCGTCACTGCACATAACTCCTGCAAACAGAAGGAGAAAAGAATTCAAGATTTAAAAAAATCTTGTTTCTAAAGAGGCTGTTGCAAAACTTGAACATTTATTCCTTATGTGTTTGTTGTTTGTGTATTACAGGAGCTATGAAAGTTAAAAGTCTTTGCGCAAATACACAGAAAATAAAGTTAGATATAAACTATGTAATACATACAGCTTTTATTGGTGCAAACACCAGGCTCTAAATGTGTCCAATGCATATTTGTTTGTCTGTAATTTTATGGAAAACATGCAGTAGTAGAGGCAGCCTCCAGGTTACAAATATCCAACTTACAAATGACTTATAGTTAAGAATGGGGGTGAGACAACACGAAGTGAAAGAAATCTACCCGTAGGAAGGGAAATCTGCTCCTGGAAGAGTTATCATGGGAAAAAGGTGTCTACACTGAAGCTTTGTCATCAATCTTTGTTTCCACAACAAAAATTGGTTTTTTTTTCAAAATTCAATTACCACAGGGACAGAAAGTGAGGTGAAATCTTTTGAACAAGGGCACATTGGCAAATAAATACCATGGGAGTGTTAAACCTTCCCTATGCTAACCAAAACTTATATATGGCATATCACATGTTTCTGAATTTGGATCACTCTAGTAGACATTGCATCTATTAGTTAGTTAAATACTACATTTACACAGTATTTAATGGATCATCATCATACAGCATAGGCAATCAACCATGGCTGAGTATGATTATCTTCCAGAGGTAGAGTCTTGGCAGTGGGTCCATAAAGAACTTTAAATTCTGGACTCACATGGTCTTTCATATTGAGGACATATTAGCTTTTCTATCATAACATGGGAAAATTACTTTGGGGAGGGATTGCTCTGAGATTCCCACAACTAAGATGGTAATTACCAAGACAACATAACCTGCTAAGAGGGTCTCTAGTAGCAGACAATCTTTGGAGTGTCCACAGCTTCTCCAGCCCACCAATCAGATCTGCAATATTTCCAAGAGGGGACAGATGGTAAAAGAAACTTTTTTTTTGATATTTTCTGCACATTCTACTCCAACCTCCTGTTTTTAGTGAAGTCCTCCACATTGAATATTGCTTCAATTATCTTCTGGGCCAGTAGAGTAGTTAAAGATAACTCTACTTTCATTGTGATTTTAGCCATCAAACTTGGTATCCCTACTAATGTACAAAGACAACCAGCATTGAAACAATGATTTTCTGCCATCAACTTGTCTGGATTAGCCATATTGTTCGAATGACCAATCACAGTCTCCCAAAGCCGTTACTTTATTCTTAATTCAAGAACAGAAAACAGAATATTATTAGACAACAAAAAAAAATTAAAGATGGTCTTAATGCTAACCTAAGAAAATGTGGTACAAACACCGAGAACTGGGAAACATTCTAACTGGAGATTAGCTGTTACCAAAGGCCCTATGGACTCTGAAGAGGTACAGATAGAGGGCAAAAGAGAGAAATGTGCCAAGAGGAAGGCCCATCACATCAAGCAAGCCATTGTCATGACCTCCTCCCATCTGGAAATCTTGTTGTCTGACAAATATTTTTTCTGTCTATGAAATTCAACATCATTTGTAGATTTCCTGTTCTGTCCCCGAGCTAATTTTTAAAGGTGCTCTAATCTCACCAGCAGGCATGTAGCCGGGGGAGGGGGGGGCTCGGGGGGCTTCAGCCCCCCCCCCAAATTCTCATGGTGGTTCGCGAAAAGGCCTTACTGGTGCATTATTTAAACTGTTATGTTTATTCATATCATGATCTGATCACCATACTCAATATATCCCATATGCATGGGGGTATTGGGTTAATGATACAAAAGGTTTGCTAGGCTAGACCCTCTTTCACTCAGACTCAGCCCCCACCCGAAACTCAGCCCCCCCCCCAGAAAAAAATTCACCCCCCCCCCCCCCCCCGAAACGAAATCCTGGCTACGGGCCTGCTCACCAGTAACGGAGTTGGATTTACACAGGTGAACAGTTAACTGGGAATGTAATAAAGTAATTAAAGTCAAAATTCTAACACCCCCAGGACTAACAACTAAAATTTATAGGAAAAGTTGAGAGCCTTGACTCAACTGTAAATCTTACTTTCTTGCCTTGTCTTCCATAAACATGTGGCAGAGTTTCTTCAGCTTGTAACACCAACTTCTAGCATCAAATTCCAATGTGCAATGTGTTCATCTTATTGGCTCCTCTAGCACCTTCTTCCAAAAGGCTCTGGCTTTAGGGAAGCTGTTGGGTCCAGCTATGAGGCTCCGCCTTGGTGGGGAAGGGGAAAGGGGGTGATGGGGGGGGGTCGTCTTAAATGGACAGAATGAATTGTGCCCCCCCATAAACTATACAATAAAGAACTAAACCCCTTCTAACTAAGGGAGGCTTACCGTATACACTAGAGTATAAGCTGAGTTTTTCAGCCCTTTTTTATGCTGAAAAAGCCCCACTCAGCTTATACTTGAGTCAAAGTTATTTATTATTTTACTCTTATTATTTTTATTACATTTATTATTTCACTCTATTATTATTATTATTATTATATTATTATTACTATTACATTTACATTATTTTACTCTTATTATTGTTATGATTACATGTCCATTATTTTACTCCAGTTTTATTATTTTTATTAGATTTATTATTTTATTCTCATTATTATTATTGGAAGGATACGTAAGCACGTTGACATTGAAGAAGCATAGAATAATAAGAGTTGGACAGAGTCTCATCTTAAATTACGGTTTTATGTACATATTCAAAAACATTTAATCTACTGATGCCTCAATTAATGTAATTTTATTGGTATCTATTTTTCTTTTGAAATTTACCAGTAGCTATTGCATTTCCCACTCTCAGCTTATACTGGAGTCAATTCGTTTTCCCAATTTTTGTAGTAAAATTAGGTGCCTCAGCTTATATTCAGGTCAGCTTATACTCAAGTATATACAGTAGTAAAGTCTTTGTGGGCGCATGATACTTCCTGTTTCATGCAGATTCATACTCTCAGAGAAAGGTAATTCTGACACATTTCATCTTTTATTCTGATTAATCTTGGTTTCCACTGTTCCATTCAGTTTGGATATCTAATGCAAGTATTCATGTTTTATACTTCCATTTTTAATAGTAATTCAACTTTAAAGAACAAAACTTTGTGCTAAATTAAATTTTTCATGCGAACTCCCATGAAAGGCAGTTGATTTTCTGCTCTACCCTCTTTGCTTGGCTGCAGTTTTTTTTTCTTGACTCCAATTGACCTTCACAAAATTGCCTAGGTGGCCTTCGCCCATTTTCTTCTTTCTAAAGGAACAGAGAAAAATAGAGCTGCTATACAATTCTCCTTCTGTTTGTAGGCCAGCTTGTTAGTGTTCATTTTTCCTCTCTGAGCCTTTAATATGAGACAGACAGGAACAGAAACTAAGTATAGAATTGCTGCCTGGCTAAGTTTTCAGCTGCTGTTATTGGGGTCACTCCTCCACTGCCAGTGGTCTATTATACCTGCATCTTAAATGCTTCAAGGATTGTTGTTGTTCATTCGTTCAGTCGTCTCCGACTCTTCGTGACCTCATGGACCAGCCCACGCCAGAGCTCCCTGTCGTCCGTTACCACCCCCAGCTCCCTCAAGGTCAGTCCAGTCACTTCAAGGGATGCCATCCATCCATCTTGCCCTTGGTCGGCCCCTCTTCCTTTTGCCTTCCACTTTCCCCAGCATAATTGTCTTCTCAGGCTTTGCTGTCTCCTCATGATGTGGCCAAAGGACTTCAACTTTGTCTCTAGTATCCTTCCCTCCAGTGAGCAGTCGGGCTTTATTTCCTGAGGATGGACTGGTTGGATCTTCTCGCAGTCCAAGGCACTCTCAGCACTTTCCTCCAACACCACAGCTCAAAAGCATCGATCTTCCTTCGCTCTGCCTTCCCGAAGGTCCAGCTCTCACATCCGTAGATGTGACTACAGGGAATACCATGGCTTTGACTAGGCGGATCTTTGTTGCCAGTCTGATGTCTCTACTCTTCACTATTTTATCGAGATTGGACATTGCTCTCCTCCCAAGAAGTAAGCGTCTTCTGATTTCTTGGCTACAGTCTGCATCTGCAGTAATCTTTGCACCTAGAAATACAAAGTCTGTCATGGCCTCCACGGTTTCTCCCTCTATTTTCCAGTTGTCAATCATTCTTGTTGCCATAATCTTGGTTTTTTTGATGTTTAGCTGCAACCCGGCTTTTGCGCTTTCTTCTTTCACCTTGATTAGAAGGCTCCTCAGCTCCTCCTCGCTT